GATATTTAAAACCACATTCTTGGGAGCGCTCTGGATCCTGCCGACTCAGCTCAGGGAGAGGGAAGTGCCAGAGGACAGCTGTCAGTGCTCGTGCCACCATGTATGGCAAGCCTAACAGCACACACCAATTACGGGTATGGCCATATTGTTGTTTAGTTCTAGCTGGTGAAGCCCAAGGGACCATATATTTCTCTTTATTCATTATCCTAAAGATTTAATTCAGCACCTACTGTGTGCCAGACACTGGGGAGGATACAAAGATGTGTAGACACGATCCTGCCCCAAATGAGCTCCCAGACTAGGAAGCAACATAGAGGCCCTGCGGAGAGACTCATGAGTGATAATCAAACTCATAGTTATTATAAGCTCCCTCTGGAGGGGTGTCCAACTGGGAGCGGTGGAGATGATGGTGGGGTATAGGGAAAAATTCTGGAAGCAGGGTCCTGGGTGGAATATATAAAGTTAAGCGGGGTGGGAGCAACTAAGATGGCGGCATAGGTAAACACCGGGAAATTATTGCCTCACACAACAATTGAAAATTACCCCAAAGGACTGAGCAAACATCATCCAGAACAACAGGAAGGCTGGCTGAGTGTAAAGTCCACAACTAGAAGGAAAGAAAAGCACGCTGAGAGCCAGAGGCGCTGCGGAGGTGAAGTGCAGAGGTACGGCGGCGCCCGCGCGCGCGAGGAAAGGGGGTGGCGCCTGAGGACGCGGCTGTCTTTTTGAATCACAAACTCCCGACGGCTCTGAACTCCGGTTCCGGGAAGTCTCTGGGGACCCAGGTCTCACACGGGGAGAAGCTGGTCTGTCCGGCAGCGAGCGAACTTGAGGGCGGCTTTCCCTCAGAGGTGCTTGCAGCCGTTACCGGAACACTGAGACGCGCGACTCCGGGCGGAGAATCGGCCATGGCCGCTTTCTCCGCCCTCTGACTCCCTGAGACCCCGCCCCACCCAGGCTGCAGCAGAGGCTTTTGCATGTGAATGTACCTAACTGCAGCCGAACCAGGCAGACCTGGAACTTCCAAGAGAAGGCCCAAGGCCCCGCAGCGGCTTGCATTGCTTCACAGCTGAGCCTCTTCGTGGCTCCTGCTGTGTGGCCTCAGGCAGAGGCTGAATTAGCACCTCCTTAGATCCAGGAGCCACTGTACCCAGTGGTCAGAGGGGGTCCATCCAGACTGCAACTCCTCAGATCCATAAGGGATGCACTCAGGGAGCAGACTCAGTGAGCACCAAAGCCCCACTGAAGCAAGTCTTGCCCCAGAAGGGTGTCTTCAGCACAGAAGTTCCCCCACTGCAGACACAGCTGATTCTCACAGCCAATTGGCCTGGAGGTCAATTCCTCCCAGTGATTCTACAACAACCAAGGCACCAAGAGTGCACCAAGAGTGTCCACCCCAGGTAACTGGGGAGGCTGAGCTACTGGGCCCTACAGGACACCTGGCGCACAGGGCCACTCTATCAACACAGGGAAGCTGCCAAAATGCGGAGACAAAGAAACAGGTCACAAATGGCAGAAATGGAGGAAAGCAAACGATTGGATATAGAGTTTAAGGCCACGGTTATAAGGTTTTTCAAGAATTTTATGGAAACCGCCAATAAATTTAATGAATCCCTCAATAAGTATAGGGAGACCATGGAGGACATGAAAAAGGACCAACTAGAAATTAAGCATACACTGACTGAAATAAAGAATAATTTACAGAGATCCAGCAGCAGAAAAGAGGATCCCAAGAATCAAGTCAAAGATTTGAAATACAAAGAAACAAAAAATACCCAACCGAAAAAGAAAAAAGAAAAGAGATTCCAAAAATATGAAGATAGTGTAAGGAACCTCTGGGACAACTTCAAGCGTACCAACATCAGAATTTTTTTTTTTTTTTAAATATATTTTATTAATTTTTTACAGAGATGAAGGGAGAGAGATAGAGAGTTAGAAACATCAATGAGAGAGAAACATCGATCAGCTGCCTCCTGCACACCTCCCACTGGGGATGTGCCCGCAACCAAGGTACATGCCCTTGACCGGAATCGAACCTGGGACCCTTCAGTCCGCAGGCCGACGCTCTATCCACTGAGCCAAACCGGCTTCGGCACCAACATCAGAATTATAGGGGTACCAGAAGGAGAGAGAGGGCAAGATATTGAAAACCTTTTTGAAGAAATAATGACAGAAAACTTCCCCTACCTGGTGAAAGAAATGGACTTACAAGTCCAGGAAGCACAGAGAACCCCAAACAAAAGGAATCCAAGGAGGACCACACCAAGACACATCATAATTAAAATGCCAAGAGCAAAAGATAAAGAGAGAATCTTAAAAGCAGCAAGAGAAAGACAGTCAGTTACCTACAAGGGAGTACCCATACGACTGTCAGCTGATTTCTCAACAGAAACCATGCAGGCCAGAAGAGACTGGCAAGAAATATTCAAAGTGATGAATAGCAAGAACCTGCAACCAAGATTACTTTATCCAGCAAAGCTATCATTCAGAATAGAAGGTCAGATAAAGAGCTTCACGGATAAGAAAAAGCTAAAGGAGTTCATCACCACCAAACCAGCATTATATGAAATGCTGAAAGGTATTCTTTAAGAAGAGGAAGAAGAAAAAGGAACTCTTACCATTTGCCACAGCATGGATCGAACTGGAGAGCGGATAAATACCACAGGATCTCACTCATTTGTGGAATATAATGAACAACATAAGCTGATGAACAAGGACTGATCCAGAGATGGAGAGGCATTGATTGGACTGTCGGGACTTGGAGGGAAGGTAGGGGAGGGTGGGGGTAAGGGGGAAAGATCAACCAAAGGACTTATATGCAAGCATATAGGCCTAACCAATGGACATGGACAACGGGGGGGTGAGGGCATGAGCGGGGGTGGGGGGGGGGTAGAGGGTAACGTGGGGACAAGGATACATATGTAATATCTTAATCAATAAAAAATATATTAAAAAAAAAAAAAAGTTAAGCGGAAGTTGCCCAGGCTACATTCAGTTTCTGGCAAAGATGGAATAACAGGGATGGAGTTTACCCTCCCATCTGGAGCAATGAAAAAGTTGTATATGAAGCAATAGCTCTGGCATCAGACAGCACAGGACAGTGATCCTCAGGGGAGGGGAAACAAATGAATGAGCCCTGTGGCCGCCCCAGTGTACGGCCTGGAGAGTTTCAAGGCTGCAGCACAAAGACGAGGAACCCAGGTGGGGTCCAACAGTTTCTCTGAGTTGAAGAGATGGAGCAAGTAGTCCGTTGAGGTCATGGCAGCTAGAGTTTTCAAGGCAGAGTGCCAGAGAGGAAGGAGTGAGATATGGAGAGAGGAAGGAAGAGAGAGGAGGTTGTAGGGTTAGATGGGTGGGGGAGAAAGATACCCAGGAATCTGCAGAGGGTTCCCTTGAGTCTTTAGCTGAGTACTGCTCAGAGCATTTTGTAACGAAACTACTTAGGGAAACAACCACACAAAAGCAGAGGAAATAATTCTTGGAGCTCACACGAGGCCAAGAACAGTTTATGTTCCCATTAGCCAGAATGGCAAACCTCATACATCACAAGGCTTCAGATGGAGTGCTCAGAAGGGGATTACCTCAGTAGCGGATTAGTTCTTGTGTAGTTGATATTCTGGTCCCAACTAGCAAAGCTTAAAAGTGAGACTCATGCCCTGACCGGTTTGGCTCAGTGGATGGAGTGTCGGCCTGTGGACTGAAGGGTCCTGGGTTCGATTCAGGTCAAGGGCATGTACCTTGGTTGCGGGCGCATCCCCAGTGGGGGGTGTGCAGGAGGCAGCTGACTGATGTTTCTCTTTCATCGATGTTTCTAACTCTCTATCCCTCTCCCTTCCTCTCTGTAAAAAGTCAATAATATATATATATATTTTTTAAAAGTGAGACTCAGAATAATCAAACTGTTTCCATGTAACTTTATTGTGTCCCAGAACATAGCTCAAAAGTATTTATAGAAATACAAAAATACCCAGCACCCAAGGTAAAATTCACAATGTTTGCCATTCAGTCCAAAATCACTAGGCAAGCAAATAATCAGCAAAATATGACCCATAACAAGGAAAATCGATCAATCCATCAATGGAAGCAAACCCAGAAATGACACAGATGTTAGAACAAGGATATTAATAGACAAAGACATAAAAAAAAAGTTATATGTTCAAGAAAGTAAAAGAAAGATTGAGCATGTTAAGTACAGGCATGGAAGATATAAAAAAGATCCAAGTCTAACTTATAGAGATGAAAAATATAATGCGAAATATTTTTAAAGAGCACTGAATGTGATTAATATCAGCTTAGACACTGAAAAAGAAAACATTAGTGAACTTGGTGACACAGTCATAGAGACTATCCAAAATGAAACACAGGAAGATTCAAAGTGGCGGCACAGTAAGTGGATGCTGCACGGACATGCTCCCAAGAACAAATTGGAATTACAACTAAAATACAGAAAAACTCCCTGAATAATCTACGAAGACTCGCAGGAGAGAACCCTGATACCCGAGGACCGAAAGTGGAGACCGCACAGCGTCCAACCACTGGCATAAACATTATGAATCCAAGCCTTTTGAGAGAAGGGGAGCTGTTCGAAAAACGAGCTCTTTCCACTCCTGTAGTAGAAAAACGTTCAGTATCTTCTGAGGCGTCAACATTATCACCATCGAAGAAGAAGAAAGCAAAGCTAGAACATGGAGGATCATCTTGCTCTAAACAAAATTCAGCAGCAGGCAAGCACTTCATAAAGGAAAGCCAGCACCACTAACGATACTACTGTAAACATAAATAAAAGCAGAATGACAAAGCAGGCAGTGTTCCAGTTATCATGGACAGGGTAAATTTTAAAAAATATATATATTTTATTGATTTTTTACAGAGAGGAAGGGAGAGGGATAGAGAGTTAGAGACATCGATGAGAGAGAAACACCGATCAGCTGCCTCCTGCACACCCCTCACTGGGGATGTGCCCGCAACCAAGGTACATGCTCTTGACCGGAATCGAACCTGGGACCCTTGAGTCCGCAGGCCAACACTCTATCCACTGAGCCAAACCGGTTAGGGCGACAGGGTAAATTTTTTGAACTTGAAAACCAAGGTACTGATAAACAGATGTCATGGTTTCATTCCATAGGCTGGAGCTCAGGGAGACCTTTCTTAGGATTCCACTTCTTGTACTGCCCTTTTGAATCTACAAAAAGGTAGAAAATGAATATATGTAACCAGAATCGACCGATTTATCAATACAAATCTCAATGCTAAGATTCGTTAATAAATTTATATAGGCATACTGAGTCTTCCTTATTTTCTGCCAGAATTAATCCCTGAATGGTATTAATTTAATAAATAAATGTAAATACACACACACACACAAAAGAAACACGGGAAAAAAGACTGAGGAAAGAACAAAAGAACAGAGCATCAGTGATCTGTGAGAAAACTTCTGAGGGCCTATGTATATTTGGAGTCCCAGAAAAAGAGGGAGGGCAGAAAATACAATTGAAGAAATAATGGTCAAATATATTCCAAGATTGATAAAAAACTATAAGCCCACAGATCTAAGATGCTCAGTGAGCCCCTAACACAAGAAACTGAACTATACTAAAGTATATTATAATAAAATTGCTTAAATCCAGTGCTAAGTAAAATATCTTAAACGCACCCAGAGAAAAAAGACATTTTATGTACAAAGAAACAAAGATAAAAATGACAGTAAATTTTTTTTTACCACAACGAAAGCCAGAAGTTAATGGAGCAACATCTTTACAATACTGAAAGAAAAATTGTCAGCCTAGAATTCTATACCCAACAAAAGTATCTTTAAAAAACTAAGGTGAAATGAAAATTACTTCAGACAAAATGTGAAAGAATTCAGCCTGGCTGGTGTAGCCCAGTGGTTGAGCATCAACCTATACACCAAGAGGTCACTCGGTTCGACCCTGGTCAGGGCACATGCCCAGGTGTGGGCTCAATCCCAGTGGGTGGCGTGCAGGAGGCAGCAGATTGATGTTGATGTTTTTCTCTCACTGATGTTTCTATCTTTCTTCCTCTCCCTTGCTCTCTCTCTAAAATCAATAAAAACACTTAAAAAAATGTGAAAGAATTCATCATCAGCAGACCTGTACTATAAGAAATGTTGACAAAAGTCCTTCAAGCAGAAGGAACATTATACTAGATAGAAGTCTGGATCTATACAAGGCAATTAAGAGCACTGGTAAGGAGGTGTTCTATGATATATAATAATATAATTAGAATATCAGTTTTGAAACCCATAATGAATTAATGGATCTAGGCCGTCGTGGGCAAACTACGGCCCACGGGCCGGATCCGGCCCGTTTGAAATGAATAAAACTGAAAAAAAAAGACCGTACCCTTTTATGTAATGATGTTTACTTTGCATTTATATTAATTCAGACAAACACTCCATCCATGCTTTTGTTCCGACCCTCTGGTCCAGTTTAAGAACCCATTGTGGCCCTTGAGTCAAAAAGTTTGCCCACCCCTGATCTAGGCAATGCTGAACAATAGCTGACAATATGACAAAAAGAGAGACAACCAAACATTATATACATTGACAGAGGCACATTTCACCACCTATGTAAAAAACAGAAACAAAAAGAGATAATAATCAAACCAGAATCTGACTTTGAGATCTAATTATCAATTTACAAGGTACACAGGGGATAAAGAAATGTGTTAAATAAAACCACTGTGTTTTACTTAAAAAAAAAGATCCAGATAGGAAATTCTGTAGGATAAACAACCATATTTTTTTCATAAAAAACACACACAACAAAAACAAATTGCAAGGGGAGAGAGAGAGAGAGAGGGAGAGAGAGGCACATTTACATGGAGGGGGACTACAAGAGACTTAAGAGACACATCAATCAATCAATCAATCAACCAACCAACCAATCACAACGTATGGATCTTGTTTAGATTCCTAGTTCAAACTCATTAAAAAGGAAATAAGATAAGACATTCAGGGAAATGTGAACACTGACAGGTATTTAAAGAATTATTGGACAGAAAAAAGTTACCCAGGCCAAGAGGACGAAGACCCCGGGCCAACATGGGAAAAGGCAGGCCGCCGTGAGGGGGGACAGTTTGGCAGTTACAGGAGCAAGGCCTCGGCTTGCCTTTCCCTCCAGGCTAGGCTGGCTGTGGAGCTCTGATTTCTGAGAAAGGAAAATGCAGAATATTGACCTGGAGACTATTTCTGTTGACTTCTCCTGGCCCCCTGGGGAAGGGGGGGAGCGCGTTGCAAGCAGGGTCTCCTTGAGGGCTTTCACCCTCAGCAACTGGGGACGTGGACCTGGCTGCTTGGGAGAGACAGAGGCTTTGAGCACTTTAACCTCATCCCACCCTCCCAGGTCTGCCTGCGGGTGGAAGGCCAGGACTTAGCATGGAGCAGAGGAAAGAAAAGAGGGAAGGAGAGAGAGAGAGGAGAGAGGCGGAGAAGAGGGAAGAGAGCAGGGAAGGCTGAAGTTCAAGCTCAGTATGCACTCAGTGGCTTTAAAGTACCACTTGACTTTTGGTCTCTAAACATTAGGAAGGATGCTGCCCTCCTCCCCTTGTGTTCAGTTCAGAGACAAGGTGTCTGAGAGAGGGAGAAAGGGGACACTCGGGCCACAGAGGCGAAGGGGCTTGCTTGGGGTCGACAGGCAAGTTGAGATGATGAAATGGCTGAAGGACAAGCCAGGGCACCGGGGCATTTATCCCTGATCACTCAGGGTCAGTCATGTGTGCCATTGCGCCTGTGTCCTGTGGTTCCTTGCTGCATCAAGTGCCCAGTGAAAAACAATAACGAGGATTTTATTAGCTAACCCTGGAGACCTGGTGCATGAATTCGTGCATGGGTAGGGTCCGGCAGGCCCACTTGGATGGGGTGGGGGGGGCCAATAGGGGCGGGGTCGGCCTGGGAGAGGGGCCCCAGCCGGCCCTGCTCCCTGGTCGAACTCCCAGTGGAGGGGACAATTTGCATATTAGCCTTTGATTATATAGGATTATTGAGCACCCATGATGTCAGTCCCTATTCTAAGTGTTTTACAGGTTAATTCACTTCATCTTCTCAACATCTTTGAGCAAGGGACTAACAGATGATGTAACTGAGCCCAGAGAGGTTAAGTACCTTACCCAAGGTCACACAGATAGTAGAAAAAGTCTAGTTTCAGTGCTTCAGCTCTTCCCAACTACCCTGGACGGCAGTGGTGAGCTGGTCCGGCTGAGTGAATGCAGCCCACTCCCCCACAGAGCTCTGCACTGGCGCCTCCTCCCCCCAGAGCAGCTGGGGCCCCGGCTGGAGCTGAGGCCAGAAGAGACCTTGTGGCCACACTGGAAAAGCCACCCCGCGCAGGAAAGGCTGCAGGGCCCCGGGCTGGAGAGAGTTGCCAAGAACAACAGCGGGCCTGCCCTAAACTGTTCTCAGCTGCTCAGCCTGGATGCAAGGCTGCGTGTCCGCGATGCTTATCAGCCCTCCGAGGGAGAACTGAATTGCGAGCATTCCAATCCCAGGCTATGATGAGGGGCCTGGGCAAGGGGTGTCCCGGCCGCATTCCGCCTGGGCGAGCGAGGGCTGGGGAGGGCCGCCCTCCCGTGAGGCCCAGCCTAGCTGGGGGTGGGCAGCGGGTCCCCTCCCCAGGTTCTGGCAGAACACTCCTGAACAATTTGGCCTGAAATAGCGTAAGAACTTCTTTCCCATTTTTTTTCCTCCAGGCTTTTGGATGAAATTATATTTTACAAATGACTCATTATTATATTTATAGCTTCTCTCCAAATGATTCAAATTGTGGTTTGTCGCCTCCCTGTCTCTCAGCTCCCCCAGCTCGCCGGGAAGAGAGGCTGTTGACGGCACGGCCAGGTGTGGCTGCGAGCGCTGCCCCTGTAATTACCTTCCCCGCGCCCTGACAGGCACGGGCGCACTCAGTCATGCGGCCTTTGTTCCAGCTTGCTGTTGGGGGACAGTGCCCGCCAGGAACTCGGCTTGGAAGCTGCTCCTGTAGGAAGTGCCTGTGTGTGTGTGGGGTGGGGTGGGGTGGGGGTAGTGGGGAGAGGGTGGGCGGCCGAGGGGGAGGCCTGTTCTGGGGAGGCTGAGACAGAGGGCGCCTTTGTGAGCGCACCGGCTGGAGAGGCAGGAGCTGCCCGGTTCTCTAAGCACCCAGTCAGGAGCGGGGGAGGGCCAGGCCGGTGAGGGCCTCCTGGGGGCCAGTGCTCTCCCCCACCCCCACCCCGCCCCGTGGAGCCGTGGAGGGTAGCTGGGGGAGGAGGTGGTGGCTCAGACGTTCCAGGCTGCGCTAGTGTCGGGCTGTTTGTGCTTCATGGTTTCTTTGAGGAACCGCTCCGGCTTTCAGGAATGGGGGTTGTGGGGAGTGTCTACAGTTCCCTCCCCCTCCCAGTCCAAGTGACTGCTCTGCTCCCCAAGCCCTACCTCTCCCCCCGCCCCCCCACCGGCTCCCTCCCGGGAAGGTGTGGTCAGGTGAGCCCAGCAGGCCTGCTCTTAGGCAGGCCGCCTAGAGAGGAAGGGTGGAGAGCCGGCCGGATGAGGCCCCATTTGCAGTAACAGTTTATTCCACCCTGTGCCCCTGGGATCAAAGTCCCCTTGGTCTGCCCTGCCTGGAGAATTCAGAAAAGTTCAAAGCCCACAAGATGGAAGAGAAGGACTTTGGAACTCACAGTGACATTCTCAAAGCCTCACAACTCTGGGTCTTTGGGTGTGATGACTCGCAGACCCCTCTGGCTGGTGTGGGTGAGGCTGTGGGGCCCACAGCAGGGACAGGCCACCCCAGCCCACCAGCCACCGGGAGGCCCAGGGGAAGGGAGGGGACAGGCCACTCCAAAGGAGCTGGCTTCTCGGGACATCTCGGCTACCCCTTCCTGTGCTTTGAGGAGAGATTCGGCCTTTGATGTTCCAGATTCTGCAGCTGAGGCGCAGTGGCTGTGCGGGAGGCTGGGCCGGACCAGGTCATGGGCCTGAAGTTGTTCGCAGGCCAAGCCTTGGGCTCCGGTTGTGTCCCCAGATCGCCTGTCAGGGTGCCTTCAGGGCTGCCTCCATTTTCACTTCTTGGCACCGCCCGCGTGAGTGGGAAGGGGACGTGGGAGGAGGCGATGTGGGAATGGGTGTGGGTGAGCATAACGTAATTACGGGTGAAATCAGCGTGCAGCCTTCACCAGATGATTTCCATCTGGGCCGAGCTGGTCCCTGTGAGGCAGTCTGGAGTTGTGGCAGAGGCTGGAGACTTGGAGTCCTGGGACCTCTCTCTCTCTGCTCCCCATTGACAAGTCACTTCTCGAAGGGAAGGGAAGGAAGGGGAGGGGAGGAGAGGGGAGGGAAGGCTGAGAGAAGCACCAGAAAGGGTCCTGGTGAGGAGGGGTGGCAAGAGGGAGGAAGGAGAAGGGCCAGGGGTGGATTTATCAGGCCATGGTGACCTGAACTTCCTTCTTAGGCTGCGGGAAAGAGAGGCCCTTCTTGGAGAGAAGGGCTGTGACCTACGTCCTGTGGAAGCAGAGCCAGGGCTGGTGGTTCTAACAGCAGTGAGACCAGCGTGGTCAGACTGAGGGGCAGCCACCTCAGCCACCTTTGACCACCTTCTTCATGGGGTTTGTGGTCTGTCTGGTGGCCACCCTTCTGGCGCCGGCACCATTCCACCAGTGTTTTGACAGTCATGTCAACGTAGTAGAGCACTTTGAACATTATTAGAAGGAGCCATCTTTGATTTTTAATATGTTATTGATTTTTAGAGAGAGAGGAAGGGAGAGGGACAGAGAGATTAGAAACATCACTGAGAGGAACATCATCCATCAGCTCCCCACTGGGGATGAGCCCGAAACCCGGGCATGTGCCCTGACTGGGAATCGAACCAGCGACCTCTTGGTTCCTGGGTCGACGCTCAACCCCTGAGTCACACGGGCTGGGCTGGAAGGAGCGGTTTTGAATATGTACTCATGGGATACAACTCGTATGTACGCTTCTCCCATATACCCTCTCCAGATAGCTCCTGCTCAGAACCCCACTCCACGCCTCACTGAGGCAACGCCGTGGCCGCCTGTGGGCGAAGCTGGAACCTGGCTCTGAATCAAAGCCAATCGTGGAGAAAATCAGTATCTCCACAAAATGGGGTCTCGGGGTGGGGACAGACTGTGCAGAGCCGCTTCATCCCACCTTGGATGGGGATGGTGACTGAAAACCAAAGCATTAGTTTTTGGTGTATTTACTGAGTTATTGGCTGTCTACCTCCTTATTTTCAGGAAGCAACTTCCGTCTTATGTTCCAGATGTTTTTATTTGACCAAGTGCAGTAGGAGGTGGTGAAGTCAGCTTGCACACACTCTGTGTTCACATCCATCATCTCCCTCAGGGCTGCTATTGTCGCCTTCGATTTCTTTATAAGGGCGTTGCGATTGATTCAGTAACTTGCCTAAGAGTGCAGTTAGCGACTGAGCTAGGGTTAGTCTGAAGACTCCTGCTCTGGTTGCCACGCCTTTTTGGTTCTGTTTTACTCTGGGTGAGGTCTGATGGTGAGTCTGGGAGCAGGGAACCCTGGGACAGGGCTCACAGAGCTGCTGTGACCCAAGGTGGCAGAGGGAAAACCCCCCTTTGCTGAGTTAACTGCAAGTGTCTCTGGGAATCAGAGTGAATGCTGCTGACATTACTTCTTTATTGTAGTAAAATATACGTAACAGAAAATTGACAGTTTTAACCACTTTTAAGTGTATAGTTCAGTGGCATTAAGTATAGTCCCATTGTTGTGCAACCATCACCACCATCCATCTTTAAAAAACGTTTTCACCCAGCCGGGTGGCTCAGTGGTTGAGCATTGACCCATGAACCAGGAGGTCACAGTTTGATTCCTGGTCAGGGCACATGCCTGGGTTGTGGGCTCGATCCCCAGTAGGGGGAGTGCAAGAGGCCGCTGATCAATGATTCTCTCACCATTGATGTTTCTATCTCTCTCTCCCTTCTTCTCTCTGAAATAAAACCATTTTAAAAATGAAATAAAAATGTTTTCATCTTCTTAAACGGAAACTCCATACCCACTGAACACTAACTCCCATTCTCTCCCCTCCCCAGCCCCTGGCAACCACCATTCTGCTTTCTGTCCTTAGGAATTTGACTATAGGTACCTCAGAGTGTGTTCACATGCAAGTGGAATCATCCAGCATTTGTCCTTTGGTGTTGGTCTTTTTTTTTTTTTTTTTTTTTAATTTTATTGATTTCAGAGAGGAAGGGAGAGGGAGGAATAGAAACATCGATGAGAGAGAATCATTGATCGGCTGCCTCCTGCACACCCCACACGGGGGGGGGTGGGGGATCGAGTCTGCAACCCAGGCATGTGCCCTTGGCCGGAATCGAACCTGGGACCCCCCAGTCTACAGGCCAACGCTCCATCCACTGAACCAAACTGGCTAGGGCTGGTGTTGGTCTTATGCTGACTTATTTTTAATTGGATCATTTTCTTTAAAAAAATGTTATTGACTTTAGAGAGCGAGGAAGGGAGAGAAAGAAATATTGATTTGTTGTTCCACTTATTTATGCACTCATTGGTTGATTCTTGTATGTGCCCTGCCCAGGGATCAAACCCACAACCTTGGCGTATTGGGACGATGCTATAACCAACTGAGCCACCTGGCCAAGGCCTGATTGGATCATTTTCTACAACAAGGATATGGGTTAGCGGTGCCCCATGACCATAGAGGACTAAAAACAAAACAAAACAAAACAAAACAAAACAAAAAACAAGCCACGTGAGAACAGGAATGATTTGGGGTGGATTTCTTGACTGTCAGGGATACCAGATGTGAGGGGATAGGGGGGAGAGGGGGTTTGGTGGCCAGGGAGAAAATGTTATCTTGAAAACAAAACACTGAGCTGTTCATTCTGGGGGCCAGGTGCATCTCCCTGGAGATGAATGTCTATCTGAAGGATGAGGCTGAGATGAACCCCGATGGGGAAGCCACTCTGGTGAGAACCGTGAGGTCCTCTGGGCTTGCTGAGGGCAAGACAAATGGTTCTGCAGGAGAAATCCATGGGAACTTGGGGTCTGCATAGAGGGATCTAGAGAGGAGAGAGGCTGGAGTAGGTAGTAGAAGTTGTGACTTAGGGAAGAGTCAGAAATTTTCTGAGGCGGGGAGTGGTTGGTTGAGTTTTTGGAGAGTTATGTCTATGAGTAGACTTTTTTTTAAATCTTTTTATTGATTTTAGAGAAGAAGAGAGAGGGAGAGAGAGAGAGACAGAAACATCAATGATGAGAATCATTGATTGGCTGCCTCCTGCACATCCCCTACTGGGGATCAAGCCCGCAACCCAGGCATGTGCCCTTGACCGGAATCAAACCTGGGACCCTTTAGTCCGCAGGCCGACGCTCTATCCACTGAGCCAAACCAGCTAGGGCTATGAGTAGATTCTAATGCAATTACTGTGATTCCCCTCCATGACCCCAAACTGTGAGTAAAATCTGCTGCTCTGCCTGTTGGCCTTGTATGAGTTGGAGGGGGATGCAGGAATGGAGAGGACATCAGCTATGGGAGGCGGGATGCAGATGGAGGGGAGAGGGGAAAACAGGAAGTCAGAGCTACAGGTCACAGAGGAAGCACGAACCCTCTGAGAATCCTGGGCACAGCTGGTAGTAGGGGCAGGAGGCAAGAGGGACTGTGAGGTTAGGGGGACACAATGATGAGGTGCCTACACCTGGTGGGCTGGGGCTCAAGTCATTGTCTTGAATAGTAGGTGGCAGGCATTCCAGTTAGATAGCCTGAAGGGAGGACCGGCCGGAAGGCCTTTTCATGGAGGCCTTCCAGCAAAATCTAGACAGGGCACAGCCTGGGTAACTGAGGAAGCTGCGGTTCCCTCGGCTGGGCTCACTGCCTCCAGGATTTCCATAGTCACGGAAGAGTACTGCGTTTTGAGAGGTGTAGATGAAGCTAGAACCAAGGCCAAGCCCAGAACATGTCTTGAGCTTTCAAAACACCGTTCTCTTTAAAGTTGTCTCAAAGCAGAGATCTGGT